ACTCACTCTCACTCACTCAGACTCACACACACTCACTCACTGTCTCACTCACTCACTGACTTACTCTCACTCACTCACTGTCTCTCTCACTCAGACTCACACTCACTGACTCACTCACTGCCTCACTCTCACACTCAGACTCACACGCACTGTCTCACTCACTCACTGACTCTCACTCAGACTCACACGCACTGTCTCTCTCACTCACTCACTCACTGACTCTCACTCAGACTCACTGTCTCACTCACTCACTGACTTACTCTCACTCAGACTCACTGTCTCTCTCACTGACTCACTCTCTCACTCAGACTCACACGCACTCACTGTCTCTCACTCAGACTCACTGTCTCACTCACTGACTTACTCTCACTCACTCACTGTCTCACTCTCACTCGCTCACTGTCTCACTCACTCAGTCTCACTGACTGCCTCACCCTCACTCACTCACTGACTCATTCATGACTGACTCACTCACTGCCTCACTCTCACTTACTCTCTCACTCACTCACACTCACTCACTGTCTCACTCATGACTGACTCTCACTCACTGTCTCTCTCACTCAGACTCACTCTCACTGTCTCTCTCACTCACTCTCACTATCTCACTGTCTCTCTCACTCACTCTCACTATCTCACTCACTGACTCACTCATTGCCTCACTCTCACTCACTCACTGTCTCACAGATGTTGCAGTGATTTCTGAGTGAGTAAAAGAGTGCAAATTGAGTATAGCTGAATTCACTGTAAAATGCACAAGAGGTTATCTAGTTATCTCTTGGGATGCAGGTTAATGGCAGTTCATTTGACTAAAAGCCCCTCACATTCAGAACGGAAAGCAGTTTTAAGGGGACATTTTGTGATGAAAAAATAATTACCCACTACCTTGCATTTTTTGGTTAAACTTGGCCACAACCCAATGATTTTTACTGTGGTTTCACAGGTAAAATTAAAGGCCCCACTCCCAAAAATTTTAATGTGAACATACAAGGTATTTGCCATTTCTTTTACTGATTCTGGTGTAGTCCTGGTGGCATAGGATACAAATTGACCTACTATCAATGGTTTGAACCCCCCCAGCCTTTCCAAAGATGACTCCAGTCGATTTAGTCTCAGCCCAGAATAAAATCATACCCAATTATGGTGTGTGTGTAGACCCAAAACCCATCTGTAGACAACTGGACATCCCCTCACAAAAGGGTCACAAGGAAGAGATGCGCCAGTCAGGGTACAGTATAGCACCAATGAAACAGCTTTCCTCTAGTTGATTCATGACTATCATGAATGCAATTCTACCTTACAAAAGGGATTAGACCAGAACATGCACACTGCTAGAGATAAGAGCCCACCTGGGAATCCAGGTTAGGAAACTCCTCAGGGCTAACGAGAATAGAGGTATCAGGAAGATAAGGGGAAGAAAAGGGGAATTGATCACAAGGATCAACATATAACCGTCCCCCTGAACACAGGAAAGTGGGTGAAGGGCAAGAGATGTAAGATGTGAAAATAACTTATCAAGGGATCAAGAGGGAGGGGGGGAATGAAGTGATACCGAGGGCTCAAGTAGAAAACGCTTTGAAAATGGTGGCAGCTTATGTACAAACGTGGCTAACACAATGGATGAATGTAGACTGATGATACTGAAGCGCCCCCAATAAAAGTATTAAAAAAATTTAGTCTCAGAAACCCAAATGGACAGTTGTACTTTTCCTTGAATCCGAAGTGACTTTCTGGCTTTTCCAAGTGTTACCGTCACTCTAAAAAGGGACGGCAGTTTATTCACTGTAAATATGATCTGTAACCATGCTTAATAAGACTGTCTTTTGCAGAAGCCCATCTGTTCTTTGTGTAATTTATGTGGCTATTTTCTTAGCAAGTTTTAGGGACATACCTCTCTTGAACATCAGCAAGCTACTCAACTATGCCTTTATCAAAAACCGTTCCAAAACATTACTCTAAAAGTAAACCTAGTGTCTGACGCATAGCAGCAACCCTCATCTATTGAGGTTTCAGGGCACACACGGCTTCGTCTTCCTCTGAAGGAACCAGTTGTGATTCGCAGCCCAGTGCTTATCCCAGAGCCAACAGACCTCAAAAACCAGAGGGTAGAGAAATCAAGGTGAGCACCTGTCTTGGGGTAGGGGGACAGGGAGGGAGATCCTTGATTACTCCTTGATACTAAAAGCTGAAAAGAAAAATTCATTATAGGAAATGTTAACTCTCAATACACAATTAAACAGCTGTTAAAACAACAAAAAATACCACTATCAGTGGCCAATACAGCTCTTTATTCAAGGAGCATTGATTACTTATGAGCTCATTTCCTAGAAACGAAACAGGTAATGTTATGCACCTTGAGTTACACCAAGAACAAAATGCAAACCGAATATAAACACATCTACCAAAGTAACTAACTTCTGTTTTTATGTCTATTAATTTGTTTTATCAAATCAGTGGAAAATGGGAATTACAGCTTAACAAAGCTAAGCTTCACCAGACTGATCTTTTTTTTTTTTTACATTTTATTAGGGGCTCATACAACTGATCATCATTTTTATACCAGTTTGTGTAACACCTCACCAACCAACAGAAAGATTATACTTCCTAAACTACTAAATAGCTATCTGGCTGGTTTCTTTTTCTACTACTTGACTTATGGGTTGTGTAATACAAGAAAGCCAATTAAAGAGGCATTATTCTCACAAAACCGAAGTTTAAAAAATTAACCTCGTTGTCCAGCTATTACCATGCAAACCCAAC